TCTTGCCCCAGAGCCGGGTGCCCAAGATAAGACTTAGCTCTTATACAGCGCTGCTAAAGGGATGCTCCCTGCCACCTCCAGGGCGGCAGAGGGGCTGCATCCCTGCCCTGCACTGGGCAGCAGTGGGGCAGGGATCCTGCTGTCCCGACTCCCACACATCCAGACCCCGGCACTGCCCTCCCCAGGGTGCCGGTGGCTGGGAAGGGGCACATACCCTGGCCCCGTACCCGGCCGCAGTGGAGGGCAAGCTTAAGCGAAGACAGCAGAGTTTTGCCAGTAGGAGTACACGAGGAAGCCGGTGAAGGTGCTGTCCGTCTTGCCGCTGGCATAAAAGCCGATGTAGTCCCCCACCCCCACCTGCACCCACACCTCGTCTTCAGGCTCCAAGCGGACCAGGGCCCCCCCTGAGAGCGAGGTGGGCTTAGGCCAGTTCCCGTAGTACTGGAAAAAGGAGGCGATGGACTGGCCGTTCTTCATGATGTCAAACTGGAGGCTGGCACGGTAGACAGTGGCGTGGACGGCGAAGTAGTAGAGGCCGGGCACCTCGCAGGTGAACTTGCCCGTAGTGGGATCATAGTGGCCCTGCTCATTGATGAGCACCACGTCAAAGCGGATGGGCTGGTCGGCCAGCGGTGGGCTGCGTGACTCAGAGCGCTTGGCGCTGAAGGCTGAGCGGGGGGCCACCGCGCACTCACCCTGAGCCCCCTTCTCGCCGTGCATGCCGTCCACGCCGGGGCTGCCTACCTCCCCGCGGGGTCCGGGCGGTCCTGGGGCAGGCGAGAGGGGGACAGGGTCACCTCTAAGCCACTGCCACCAGCACAGCCCCCCACCATCCAAGATCCCCCAGCCCCACTGCCCAGCCCCAATCCCACCGGGATTACAAGCCTCCCACAGGAAGCTGCACAAGCAGGCAGGGCTAGATGAATGTGCTAACTGGGCACAGCAGCAACAGAGAGCTGGAGAAACGCCCCCAGGCTGGGAGAAACCCCAGCCAAGGAGCCAGGGCAGGGACAGTCCAGCCGTGTTTGGGGGACAGCTTTGTGGGCGCTCCTAAAGCAGGGGATGGTAGAGAGGGATGGCAATAGGGATAGGGAGAAATGCAGCTTTGCTAGTGACAAGGAGTACAGGGTCACTGCAGGCAGCACTGGAGGGGCAGTGGTGGCATGAAAGAGGCATTTCTGCAGAATATTATCCCAGTTTGGCTGTGTCAGCATGCAGGGCTCACACTGTGGCATGAGGGTACGCTCCACAGACAGAGCAGAGCAGCCTCCTCTCCCCGACCGGGTTGTCTCCTTTCTTACCAGGAGGGCCCATCTCGCCTTTCTCTCCTGGCATGCCCATCGCTCCATCCCGACCGTCTCGTCCATCTCTGCCTGGCAGACCCTGGCCCCCGTGTAGGCCAGGTGTCCCTGGGATGCCTGGCTGCCCTGAGCACAGCCCAGGGATCTTGTTGTCTTCGATCTGTAGGGAGCTGATGATGAGCCCAAGGAGGAAGAGGAAGAAGAGCTGCTTCATCTCGTCTGCCATGGAGGGGCTGGAAGGAAGCAGAAAGGGGTAACAGCTCTGGGTAGCTCAGTGAAGAGGGCTGGGAAACGGACTTACAGCGCCCAGCAGGGAGTGGGTGCGGGGGCTCAGCTGGGAACTGTTCCTCCCTTCTTTCCCCTTTGCCTTTTTGGCTGCTCCCCGTGTCAAGGCCTGACTGCTGACTACACCTGCTGCAGGATCCCTGAGGGGCTGGAAGGAAGCAGAAAGGGGTAACAGCTCTGGGTAGCTCAGTGAAGAGGGCTGGGAAACGGACTTACAGCGCCCAGCAGGGAGTGGGTGCGGGGGCTCAGCTGGGAACTGTTCCTCCCTTCTTTCCCCTTTGCCTTTTTGGCTGCTCCCCGTGTCAAGGCCTGACTGCTGACTACACCTGCTGCAGGATCCCTGCTGCCGGCGGCTCTGCTCCGTAGCCGGCCGGCTCCCTGGGACACGGCTCTCTGGTGCTGCAGCATCCCCAGCTGTGCTGGACCACCCCGGTACTGCCCAGCCCTTGGCAGCATCCCTGCTGCCGGCGGCTCTGCTCCGTAGCCGGCCGGCTCCCTGGGACACGGCTCTCTGGTGCTGCAGCATCCCCAGCTGTGCTGGACCACCCCGGTACTGGGAGCTACCCTATTCCCCAGGCTGCCCCCAGCCCTTCCCACACCAGTCTAGCAAGAACAGAGCCCTGCGGCTGGCGCTGGCCCCCTCCCTGTGGCCCTGTCCCGGGAAAGCTGCTCTCTTCCCCCTCCTGGACGCGATGGCTGCAACAAAGAGGAAAAGGAGGAGAAAAGTGTCTCTCCTCCGCCCAGGCAGAGCCAGAACCTCAGCGAGCCCCAGTTCCCCCCAGCACCGGGTGGACAGAGCTGGGTAGCCCCACTCACCGTGATCCCACAGCTCTGGCCCCGGCACCTCGCTGCTCTCTGGCGTGGAAGGGCTGCAGCTCTTCCTGACCACTTTGCTCTGACGAAGGCCCTAGGAAAGGCAGCCTCTCCACCCCCCCCCTCCTCCTCCTCCTCACGTCTCTCCTCCCAAACTCCAAAGGAAATCAAGGGCCTTGGGAGCCAAAAGCTACAAGACAAGGGGAAGAAGAAAAATAATCCCATGGTGTCAGAAATGCTGTAAGCAGGGGGAAGGGAGGGTAAGATAAACAGCCTGGCAAAGGGAGAGCAGGCATGGGCTGCAAACTGCCTCAGCTGAACACAGCTGGGCACCCGGGCAGCAGAACAGAGGGAAAGGAAAGTAGAGGAAATGGAGAGCAGAGTGAAAGTGGAACAAGAGAAAGGCCAAGGGAGGGAAAACCAGCAAAGGCTTGGAGTGAGAGAAAGAGGAGGGAGCCCTCAGGGTGTGTGGATCCTCTGACTGGCAGCCTTGGGGTTGTTCCTGGCAGCAGGGCCGAGGCAAGGGGGAATGGCAGTGCACATCCAGGCTGGCAGTGTCATCCCCGAGAGTGCCCACCAGAGCTGCTGGAGCCAGCTGGGACAGGCAGGCATAGGGCAGCGTGTGGGGCTGAGCAGGTAGGGCCGTGCCATGGAGCAGGCAGGTGGGAGAGCAGGCAGAGCAGCGCTGTGGCCGTGTCAGGAAGCAGGGCTAGCCCTTGGGGACTGTGGAGCATGCAGCAAAGCTGGGACCGTGCCGGGCTTTCGAAGGCACTCCCAGCTTGCCTTTAACTTGTTCCAGCACCGAGTGCATCCAAGGGACACTGCCAGACACCCATGCGGTGGGGTGGTCCTGTGGCTGGGACAGTCCCTGTGCCCTGCAGCCAGCTTGCAGCAGCAGGAACATGCAGGGAGCAAAGGAGCCGAGTGGGCTGGAGCCCCACCAGCAGGGGTGACTGTGTGGGAATGGCAGTGCCGTGCTGGCTGCAAGGGCAGAGTGGTGCTGACCTGAGTGCGTCCTGCTCCCAGGAACCCCAGCTGAGCATGGGACTTTCCCAGGCGCTCGGGGTGGCTGAGGGCAGAGGGAAGCGTGCTGGCTCCGCTGGCTTTCTCCTCCCTGTGCCAGTGCCCACAGCAGCGTGGGTGACATTGCCGGCTGAGCCTGCCCAGGGTCAGGCTGGGTGCTGGCAGGGAGCCACCCAGCTCCTCTCTCCCAAGGTGTGAAGGGGCTGTTGCTTTTGGCCAGCTGGGAGCTGGTTTGTGGCCATGGGGTGTTGTCAGGCTTGTGGTCATTGAGGTGGCCTGAAGCCAGAATGACCAGCTCAGTCAGCAGGGCCGCAGCCCGTGGTGGAGCAGGATCTTCTCCCTGCACCATGGGGCCACAGTCTGACTCTCTCCCAGACCCATCCATCTCCCTGGACTCCTGTAAGCCCCTCCAGCCCATCGAGGGCACAGCCAGCAGCCCATTTCCCCCTGCAGACAATCAGTCTCCCCTGTGCTCTTCCACTCCTGCTCAGACACCCCACCCCAGCCCTGGCTTCCCTCCCTTGGCTCATGCCTCAGTTTCCCCTAGGATCTGGCAGGACCCACACAGACCATCCCCAAATGAGCTACCTGCTCCATCAGGTTTGTCAGCTACTCATGCTGTTTATTCTGCTGGCGTTGGGGCTGCGGGACATGGGCAGCCCTGAGCTCTTCTTGTGCCTGTAGCCTGGCTCACCTGGGCCCAGGCTTGCTCCATTTGGGGAGCATTAACCCTTCCCCTGCTGGGCTAGTAGGTGCCTGAGGGAAATTGGCCATGCGCAGCCTGGAGAGGCTGAAAGAGAGAAGTGGGCTGGGAACCATGCACAGCTCTGGCCAACATGCCTGGGGTTGGCCGAGGATGGGGAGACAGTGCCCAACCTTTTTGCCACCATCCTGCTGCTTGGCAGGGGGACTTTGTGTGCTGTACCCAGCGCTGACCCCAGGGTGGGTGAGAAGCCAGGCAATGGGGTGTTCCTGATGGGGACCACCTCAGCAGCTGGGTATTTTCAACGGGAGGAGGACAGGAGGGACATTTGGGGTGGGGGGGATGGCTCTGGGCAGGCTGCTTCAACTCCTGCTCCTCTTCTCTTGCCAGATCAGGGCTGGAAGCACTCTACAGGGTCATTGGAGTCAGGCAGGATGTTGCAGTTGATGGGCCAGAGGATGCCAAGGAGGCCGAGGGACTGCTGGCATCGCAGCTCAGCGGCCAGGCACACGGCTTT